TTTATTAGCAGTTAGCAGAGGGTCACCAGTTCTGCCCGGGTGCCAGACTCCTGGGGACACTTTCTCAGTGACTCTACTTATTTTCCATAGACCACAAGCAAACCTGTGCAAATGATGTCGCTGAAAGAAAAGCTTCCTGTTTTTCACATAGAAGAGCCACGAGCCACCGGCCTCCAACTCCACTACAAGAGCCGTGACCTCAGCCTGTTCATACTGCTGCCGGAGGACGTCGGCGGGCTGGATCAGGTGAGGACATCGTCTGTCTGACATGAGGGTGGTCCCGGTGTTTACCTCTGCGTAACACGGCCGCCCCATTCTCTGGTTCCTGTAGAGGAAGGCAACCAACGTCCTGTCTGGCCTAGGCACTGTACCTTCCCAATATCATTTCAGCTTTACAGAACTCTGTGAGGGCAATATTCCTTAGAAAGGCTGAGTCCTTGCTAGACACCTGTAGCACGGGGTGGCCACACGAACAGCCACATGAACAATAGATACAGATACTCTTTGTCAGTCACAAAGCCGAGTGGGTTGATCATAGCAATCTTTCAGTGGGTCTGGGTCTTTCTTCTCTCTCCGGTAGGACCTACCTAATGGGAGATCAATTTTTTAATCAACTTGCATTAATGTAGCATTAGATATACCTTTGAAAACATTAAGTTTACTTCCAAGTTTTTCAAAAACAGTTTTTTATCAAGTAAATAGTTTTCAGGAGAAATAGTCTATATAAGAATCATGTAAGTTGCTTATCTGCCAAATGTCTATGAAGCTTGACATAACTTTGGTCCGATGACATTCCTGAGCAGTTTGCACGTCTGATGGGACTTCGCTCTCCCTGCTGCGGGTGGCCTGTCTTTCTCCGCGCAGTGCCTAGTTTCTCGTGCGCGCTGGACTTTTCATACTTACACGTGCTTGTGGCCTTTCTAGTGTGTGGAGAAGATTTCCAATGGTATCATAAGATTCATGAAACTGGAGAGCATGATAAAAATAGGACCAAGGGGGGACACTAAACCAGCAGAGTCCCACCCGACAAGATAGCCCTTCCTTCCCACGTGCACGGGTTCCTGAGTGCAAGGTAGTGTCACATTGTTAATGTCCATCATTTACAAGTGTGTCATTGATGGCAGTGCTTTGGTCTAGAAAACTCTCCAGGCAGCAAAGCACGTGCTTTAAAGTTAGATTATTCAAAAACTGAAGCACTGGTTTTCCCCTCACACACACATCTGTATACGTACATATGCATACATATCTATTTGTTTAAGATTTTTTTTTAAATAAAAAGGAGAGAAATCACCCTCAAAACCACTATAAAAGTGTTATTACTCTTAAGATTTCGTGATCTTTTTCTCTTTCTTTCTGTCTTTCTTTCTGCATTGTTTATGGTTACTAAATTCATATTTTTGTGATTATAGACATCTTATTTTGCCTCAGATTTTGTTTTCAAAGAACTGTCTCCCATGTTAATAAAATTAATGTTTTTTTGTATCCTGACATACAACTTGTCCTATATTATATGCCTTCGTGAAGATAGCATGTAAATTATATTTATTTTGATTTGAGTGCATAGTTGATATTTTGTGTATTATCGTAGAAGTACTTCAATCTAAAAAACAAAGATTCTATAGGCATGACCAGGTGAGGGATGTTGTGAAGCAAAGAATTTCCGTGTGTGTGTGTTTTGTTGTCCTGGGAAATGGGGGCAATCAGCACTCATCTGTGTCATTATGTAGACAGAGCTCACTTAAGCAATGCTTTTTCTCTCCACTTTGGAATGACTGACTCACTTTGGCTTCGCCGGCTCTTCCTTGGCCCCACCCCACAGCTGGAGAAGGCCGCCACGTACGAGCAGCTGAGCGAGTGGACCAGCGAGGACATGATGGAGATGTACCAAGTGAAGCTGCACCTTCCCAAGTTCAAGCTGGAAGAGAGTTATGATCTCAAGTCAGCCCTGAGCAGCATGGGGATGAGCGACGCCTTTGACCAGAGCAAGGCCGACTTCTCAGGGATGGCGGCGGGGCGGCAGCTGTTCCTGTCCAGTGTTTTCCACAAGTCTTTCGTGGAGATAAATGAGCAAGGGACAGAGGCTGCCGCGGCCACCGGGAGTGTGGTGGGCTTCCGATCCAGACCCCTGTCCATGGATTTCAACGTCGACCACCCATTCCTCTTCTTCATCAGGCACAACAAAACCAACAGCATTCTCTTCTACGGGAGATTCTGCTCCCCCTGAGCCCGCGTCCGTCTCATCGGACCAGTGACGTGATGTGTTTTTCACATCATAAGATGGAAAAAACGGTTATAATAACTAGTGTGTAGTCTAGATCTTTTCCACATTTGAATATTAGCAAATAAATCTTGAAATAATGCATTCTAGTGATGTCGTGTCTTTATACCTAGAGAGAATGACAAATTTTATTTTTACCACAAAATGTTTTGTCTTTTTTAAAAAAGATCTTATTTATTTATTTTTAAAGAGAAGGGAAGAGAAGGAGAAAGAGGGAGAGGAATATCAATGTGTGGTTGGTTCTCATGCACCCCCTACTGGGGACCTGGCCTGCAACCCAGGCATGTGCCTTGACTGGGAATCGAACCAGCGACCCTTTGGTTCACATGCCTGTGCTCAATCCACTGAGCTATACCAGCCCAGGGGTAAACATTTTGTCTTAAAGTGACTTCTATTTACATTTCAGAAATACTATATTATTCAATTGAATGCCTTATAATTCTTGAGCTGTTGGTCATTGTATTGTCACTTATATTTCACATATATTATTTAGTGAAGAAAAATTTTTATAAAGGCAATGTATTGATGAACAAGGATTTTTTTCAGGAGTACAATTTTGATAGTTCATAAATTACCACTGAAAAATGAAATACCCCTCTCCTGTTATCTATTTAAAAAATACTTATTTTGACATTAACGGAAAAACTATTGAAAGCCAGATGAAATCTAGAACTTACTTAACAACAACGTACCAATGTTGGCTTCTCAGTGTGAACCGGTGCGTCACGGTCACGGTAGATGTTACTGTCACCAGCAGGGGACCGGGCCTGGAGCAGGGTTGACTACAGGGTGTGGGTTCTTGCCTTTGTGTGGGGCAGGTTTCGCAATAGGAGTCCAGGCGATTTTGAGAGTATGTTTATTAAAGCTGGGAACAATGAAACAAAGGAAGGTCTTAACATAGAGCAGGGGTGTCAAACTTATGTTCACCGGGGGCCACATTAGCCTCCTGGTTGCTTTCAAAGGGCCAAATGTAGTTTTAGGACTGTATATAGTGACTGCTCCTTAACAGTTAAGTGAGAGCTCGGTGCTGCCGCTGGGTAGAAACCAGGTCTCGGGGTGGGATCAAAAAAGGTGGAGGGTGGGATTCGGCCCGTGGGCCTTGTGTTCGCCACCCATGGTTTAGGAGAAGCGACAGGAGAGAGCCTAGGTGGGGCTGCTTGACTCCCTACCTGTGTTGTGGGAAAGAAGTGGGCCACGGGGTGGGGGGAGGGGGCTGCAGTCAGCTCACTGGGAAGTCAGGGGAGACAGGGCTCAGACACAGGTTCGGGGGAGAGCCTGGCACAGCTGCCCCTGCCCGCTGCTGCCCTGGCCGCAGTCTCCCGAGGGAGCCCGCGGAGTTCAGGAGGATCTCGTTTTAGAGGTCGATCGTGTCCCTCTAGGCTGCTCTTTGGATCTTCATGGAATGAAATGGAAGAGTGGGTCTGACCCGAACAGGGTATACACAAGTGTAAGAAACTGTGTTTTCTGCATCAAATCCTGGTTCAGTATTGCAGGATAAAAAATGACTTCGTGTCTCAGTTCCAAGGATGAAGCTGAGACATGAAGTTCCCCTCGTGCGGATTCTGCTGCCGGCGCTTCCCTTCCGCAGGCCAGTTCCAGCTGGCCCGCACCCCTGCCCGCACCCCTGCAGCAGCAGCAGCAGCAGCAGCAGCGCCTCTGTGGACCAGCTCCAGCAAGTTCCTTTGCCCTTGGCAGTGGGCACATTCCTGTGTCAGACACCCGTCCGAAGGAGTCGGAACCTCAGCCTCCCGGTGTGAGGCTGCTGGAGGCAAAGGTGCATCTTCTCTGTGAATGAGAAGTCAGCTCTGCTTTGGAAACAGCCGACTCCCACCCCACCCCTTTCACCACCGTACAGGATGATCACTTTGAGAACCTACCTCTATTTGTGTCTTTTCCCATCATCAGGTGACTTTATTACTCAAAAAGATATTAAAATTCTCATATATTTGCACTTAAACTTGGAAATACAATTTCCAAACTTCAGAAAAATCTTCCAAACAGAAAACATTTGGTGGGCCTTAATCCGTTAAAATGTTAAAAATACAGCCCTTAAAAAAATTGGCTTGCAGAAAGAACTGATTTTCAAGAGGATGAATAGTTTTCTACTAGTGAGACTTTAACTAGAAATTGTTGCATAAATTAGTATGAGGATTGAAAAAAACAAGTGTCAAGATTTAGGAAGCACAGCCAAAGACAGCTGTACTGCATTTAAACCCACCCATTTCTCAAATAGCCTTTCTTCCTGAGCCAGCAGTACAAGTTCAGAAACAAACTGAACTTAAAGCCAGGCCTTCAGATGAACTCCATTTCAAAGCCTTTAACTAAAGATGAAATCAAACGCATATTCAATTACACTGGTCTCACTGAATTTTAAAGTAATTTTTGTAAGCAACTAAATACATATTTCTAACAAAGTTTTTCTTATTCTTTGTAATGTCTCTTCATGTGTTTTAGAGTGTTCACCGTGTGTTGGTGTTGAACCTATGAGCACCCGTAAGTTCACATGAGCGGCGGGGATGCGTGCTCCAAAATTGTTTTGATGGGTGCGAACGGTTTGGAAACGAATGGCTTTAGGAGCCAGTTTTAGCCTCTGGTTTTGCTTTTGGTTAACTTCCGAAGCCAAGTCCCGATTTCCAAACTAAACAGGACCAAACAGACTAAACAGGAATGCGCGTACTAGCCCGGGAGGAGGAACCCGCCCACCCTGGGCAGCAGGGTGCGGGCGAGGCTCAGGCTCCTCCCGGGCGCCAGCCTGGGGATGCGGGTCGGTGGGAGACGGCACCGGCGTGTGCAGCCTCGGGCTGCGGTGAGTCATCGCCGGAAGCCTTGCCCGAAATCAAAGCGGACGTGAAGCATCCACCGAACTGGACTCGGCCCCGACGGCCAATCGAAGCAGGAGCAGCAGCGCCGGCAGGAATCTCCCAGGTACCGGGGCTGAGAGGCGCTCGGGTCCTCAGGACCCTGCCTGCCGGGAGCTGGGCGGAGCGCGGGATCGTGGGAGGGAGGGAGGGAGGGAGGGAGGCGGATGGCAGACGCTAGAGGAGGAAGAGGAAGAGAGGACTCGGGGAAAGGTGGGGGGCTGCCATCCCGCCCGACCGCTGCTGCGCTGGGGTCGCAGTGGCCCCGGCCGCGCTCTTCGCCCCGCAGGAGGGTGGGCGTCCTCCTGGGCAGGGGGCGCAGGACCCGAGCGCAGAAGTGCAGCGACCCTCCCTGGATCAGAGCGTGGTCCCGGGGTGGGAGAGACACCGGAGCCTGCTGACGCCACTGCCATTGGCCAGCAGTGAGGGAGTGGCCGGTGGCTTAGGTTGGGCAGCTGCTGACCCAGAAGGCGGGGCGGGAACCTTGGGGAGGTGAGTGGGAGGAGCCGCAGGTGCCGCCGGGACACCGGCGCGCCGATCGCAGCCTGGCCTGGAATTTCCGGGGAGCCTGGGGCGAGTTCCGAGGGTGCTGATTGATGCCACCTCCCCCGCAAAAGTCTGCCCCCTGTCTGTGTCCTGGAGCTCCAGCCCCTACTCCGTCTCCTTGTTGAGGCTGTTTCAGGCCCAAACTGCTTCCGGAGTTCGCTACCTCCAGGCTTCCCAGCCCCCCTGGGCGGGCCACACACCCACCCACCCAGCTCTCCCAGGACGTCCCCGACGATTGGGTGGCCGTCCCTTCTTCCTCATCCTGCCTGCAGGTATTGGGCCGAATTTCAGTTGCAGCTCTCCCAGAAATGGGATTGACTGTCTTGGCTTCTGCCTCCCCCGTGCCTTCTGAGTAAGGCCATGCGGGCTGCCTAGACTCGCCTGGAATCAGGATGCTGTGGGCTGTCTTTGTTCCGTGCCCTTGGTGAGGTGTGCTCCGCATCTCGCGTGGAATGCACACCTTCCCCATTCCGAGCTGGCTCCTCACATAAACTTCCTGCGGTTCCTGGCCCTCCTCCGCATCCCGAGCTAGCAGTCTGTTAGAAGGTAAACTGAGGCATATTTAAAAAGTCAAGAGTTTATTGGAGCAAGAAGTCAGTGTGAATCCAGCAGCATCGAATCTGGCAAATAGAAAGGAGCTCCGGGATGTTGTAGTGAATGGAAGGCTTTTGTAGGCAGAAGGGAGCAGGCAGGATAAGAAAGTTATTGCAAAGTTACATTCCTTTGGGGACGACAAGGGTCTAGCAGGCAGGAGACTTAACTAGTGCTGATCAGGTGATTCCTGATGGACAGCTGAAGATGCCATTTTTTGGGAGAGCTGACACTGTCATTTTGCTGTGTATCTCTAAAACATCCATGAATTCCTGCAAACCATTTGTTTAAAAGCCATGCACGGCTTTCCAGCTCACAGCTCAAGTTCAGATGTCTAAACCCGGCACCAGGGGCCCGTCCTGTTTTACCACACCCTGTCTCTCAAGGGACACTGGGCAGACACCTCCCTGGCCCCACAAAAACACGCCCTTCCCCCCCCCCCCCACGTCCTTTGCACCTGCAGCCACAGCCCTAACATCTTCCTCCTTCCGTCACCACCACACAGAAACGGCTGCCCAGGTCCCAAAGTGAATTCCTTCTGCTTCTCTGTGGCTTTCCTTAGCTCTTTGCAAATCCTCCCATTGCAGAGTGCACGGCCGGCTTGAAACCGTGCATTTACGTCTGCGTGTCTCCCCTCGGGAGGGAGCTCCCAGTCCGGAAGTATGACATTTGTCGTTCATTTCCTTCCCCAAACCTATATGAGGGAAGTTCCACATAAACACTCGTTGAGCAAATTCGCTTTGGGATGTGTGTATGGGGAGGGGAGGGGAGCAGGGAGTTGGCAGGCGGCTTCCAGGAAGAGGAAGATGCCACACGATTAGACCCAGAAGGCTTGCTTTTGTCGCCGACTCGGCCACTTTTACTACGAGACCCGAGGACAGTAGCAACTGTCCTGACCTTGTCTGTTCACCTGCCGCAGGAAAACTAGTTCCATGCCAGCTCCTTTTATTGGCCGGAAATCGGACTTTTCCATGTTGCTGTGTTTTTATGACGCAGTTAAGCGGTGGCACTGGCACCCAAAGGCGTTATTTTGTTTCATAGTGAAATGAATTCCTTGTTAGATTCATGGTGCAAGCTCCATTTTGTTTCCAGTTCCAACCCTCTGCCAGCTTTAATGGACACATGTGACTGGGGCACCGAGAGGAGCTGCGGGAAAGGGAATCATTCTGCTACCCTGCTCCACCTCCGGCATCTTCAGGGTGTGAGCTGGCCTCCTCCAGGGCCCTCGTGTGTGCGTGTGTGTGTGTGTGTGTGTGTGTGCCAGTGTGTCACTGCTGTGGGCAGGCACTGCTCACACATGACGGCGGCCCAGTACCTGGGTGCTGACAAGGAGCGGAGGTGAGGAAATGAGATGAAGGAGAAGGAAAATGGAAGAAACCAGACATGGGCATTTCTAATTTGGAGCAGTTAATGTGTGACGTTTAACTTGATGAGATACTGCATTAAGTTCATTCCTCTGCCTGTTCGGGCAGGACAATAATACGCAGGACACAAGTACTCACACAGACACACACAGAGACAGACACACGTATACACAGACAGACAGGCAGGCGCATACACCTGCTCACACTCGCCGGCCTAAGCTTACGCCTGCCTCACTCGGAGTTCCAGCTCTTATGCCCAGTTAGGGTCAAACTCAAATTTATTTGAAAACAATTTGCTAAAATTATAATGATTAATAAGCCGTAATAACTTTTTAAGCTTCTACCATCCCCCGCCCCTGGGCCTGGGAGGTAGGGCGCTATCTTCCTTGAAAAGTACGTGTTTAAAAGGAGAACTCCGAGGGACTTGAGAAAGACTGTTCTGGGTTGTAAAAGAGGAGAGCGGCTTTTCAAAATACTTCCGTCTGCGAGGAGCAGAGAAAGAGTTCACAGTGACAAGTGGTCTGAAGCAAACACTCTAAGGCACGGGCGGCAAACAAGGCCCGTGGGCCGAATCCGGCCCTCCACCTTGTTGTATCCGCCCTGGCACCTTGTTTCTACCTGGCGACAGCGCTGATCTCTCGCTTAACTATTAAGGAGTAGTTACATGTATACAGTCCTAAAACTACATCTGGCCCTCTGAAGGCAGCCGCGAGGCTGATGTGGCCCCCGGGGAACGTGAGTGCGACCCCCCTGCTCTAAGGAAAGGCAGATGCGGGGAGAGGCAGGAAGAGGGTTGCTGACATGCAGTCAAGCTGGGGGCAGGTCAAGGTCGGCTTGGTCAGGCTGGATCCCAGATCGGTGCCTCTGGTTCGGAGGGTCCACCTGACGACTGGGATTTGGGTCGTATTTGACAGCCTTGCTTGTGGGCTCGCTCCCTAGCCCAGTTTCGGCAACTCCGTGGAAAACGGTGTGCACTTTTGGAGTCCCCTGATTCATAGTGACTTTTGTGTCTTCCCAGTCGCCCCTGTGTTAGGTCAGACCATCCCAGACCGACTCTCCCAGTCCGTGGAAATCCATCCAGCTGACAGAAATGGCATTTTTATTTACAGAGGACTACGTATAGTTCATAGAACTTGACCTTGGTGAATAAATTGTGCTAGGGACACCAAACTGAGGGGAAAGTAGTACCAATGAGGGGATGTTGTGTAACGGTGAAGACTTTCAGCTCTGGACTCAGCCATGGGTTCCAGTCCTGCCTTCCTCAATGACGGCCCGTGGGGCCTGGGACAAGCGAGTGAACCTTACTCAGTCTCCTGGACTCTGCCGTGTGGTGGCCCCCGTGCTGACCTCCCCTCTTGCTGTGGGGAGTAAATGAGACGAGACATGTAAATTGCAGAGAACTGTGACCGGCACCGAGACGTGTTGGCTGTCCTTGCACTCAGGGGAGAGCCAGCAGGGCTGGGAGGGTGTCCGAGCCCCCGCAGAGGTCGCGTGGCTGTGGTGGGAACAGCCATGAACTCTGGATTGGCTACATTGTGAACAAACCAGTGTATTAGTTGCGTGTTGATGCTGCAACACCTTATGACAAAGCGGGTGCCTGAAAACAACACAAATTTGTTACTGGACAGGTCTGGAGGTCAGAAGTCCAAAATAGTTCCCCAGAATTACTTTTTTTTTCTCTTCCTGGAGGCTCCGGGACAGTTTCCTGGCCTTTTGCTTGCATCCCTGGGTTCGTGGCCCTGCACCATTCGGCCTTTGCTTCCAACGTCACATTTCCTCCCGCGGCTTTGACCTTCCTGCCTTCCTCTTATAAAGACCCTGTGATTACATGAGCCCACCTGGATCATCCAGGAACATCTCCCTATCTCATGATCCCCAGTTCAATCCCGGAGGCAAAGTCTCTAGTGCCCCGTGAGGGAGCGCAGTCACAGGTTGGGCAATTAGATGTGGACGTCTTTGGGGGTGTGGTCATTCTGCTGACCACACCCAGCATCCGGGGGCCTGGGTGACGAGACAGAAGGTCTGGCTGATGTGCTTCTGTGTTGTGTCTTTGACACAGGCCTTCTCTGATGGGTGACCTCGGGGAAGCAAATGGCACCTTCGCCATCACCTTATTAAAAGTGCTGGGTGAAGAGGACCACTCACGGAATGTGTTCCTGTCTCCCCTGAGCATCTCCTCTACCCTGGCCATGCTCTTCATGGGGGCCAAAGGAGACACCGCCGCCCAGATGTCCCAGGTACGTGCGCTGTCACAAAGGGAGGGCAGCTTCCGTTCTCTGCTTCCCCCGAGCTGGTCTTTCCCTATCTTCACCCCCGCTGATGAAGACCTGTGTGGCTGGGAGGTGGGGGTCGGGCATGGGGATGGACAAAGGGCAGATATAGGTAGGACAGGTAAGTTGTATGAGACAGGGAATCTCCTTTTAGTATTTATAGGAGAAATCAAGTCATTATTTTCTCTGGATAAAAGCATCAATATGTTATAGCAAACTTGTATCTTTAATAAGTAAGACAAATTATAATCCTGTCCCATAAAAAGGCTGAGGATTTAAACTTTATTATATTTGCCATTTTTGCTAACACATTTCAAACTGAAATATAGCTATGTAAATGACCTTTTGACAAACAGGTTATTTCTAGTGTATAATTGTGCATAAGTGGATGGAGGATGCCACAAAAACGTGGGCTTGTATCTTCAGGAGTCCCCTAGAGGGAAAATATAATCTGATTGATCTGACCCAGGTTATGGGTGCCCTCAGTTCCACACGAAGTAGTGGATGACCCTTTAGGGAAGGGGTCCTTCACTTCTTAGTGTCTCAGAGTCTTTGGCTGTCCTGTGGAAGCATCCCAGAAAATTGCATAGGCTCACCACATTGCCACGCGTGTCCAGAAGCACATCCACTGTCTACAGTTGAATCCCCCGTGGCAGCTCCTTGCAGCTCACGGATGGGCTGAGGCTTTGGACTGGGTAGGTGGGTGATACAGGCACAACCTGAATTTCCACTCTGGTTTGACATTTAAAACACAGTCTGGGCTTGAGCACTTCTGTAAAATTGCTGATGAGACATTTTCATTTCATTTTGTCTGCTCATTTTTGTAATCCTGGGTCAGGTTAGGTCTGTTCCAGCCACCAATTTGTTCTGTTCTGTCTCCCTCCTGAGTTTTCACATCCTGCCTGCCTGGCCTGTGTCCATCTGGAAGGGCAGTGGTTTACGCCAGTGGCTTTTGCCTCTTGGGAGCATTTGGCAATGGCAGTTTTGGCTGCCATCACTGAGAGGCACTGCTGACATCTAGTGGGCGGAGGCCAGAAATGCTGCAGAATATCCTGCAACACACTGGACAGCGTCCACAACAACGCAATTAGCCCCAAGTGTCAATAGTCCCAACGTTGAGGAACTCTGTGCTAGCCGGTTAAAGCCAGCCGCTTTTGAGATAGGATCCTCTGTGATGTTCAGCTCAGAGATTTGTTGGAGGAGTAAAATGACAGTGTTACAGTCCGTGTTTTCTGTGCCCAGGTACTTTGTCTGAACAAAGTGGAAGACGTCCACCAAGGCTTCCAGTCGCTTCTCACGGAAGTGAACAGATCTGACGCCCAGTACTTGCTCAGAACTGCCAACAGGCTCTTCGGAGACAAGACGTGTGAGTTCCTTCCGGTAAGTAGTAACTCACGCATCGACTGAAGAGAAATTGAAAATACAATAGAAACTATAGGGGAACAGAGATAAAATATAACTTGACTGCCTTAAAAAGTACTTAGAATATTACCGGAATAATTATAATTTTGACTTTTATGATGGCTTCTGCATCATGTCCTTTTTAAACTGTTTCTGGTGCATTCCTCCTGACCCTCAATCTCAACCTGTCCGTCCTCCGGCACCCAGACCTGCTTCCTGCCCTTGATCTGAGTAGTTTGTATTGATGGCAGCATGTAACCCCAGAGTCCCCTAGTCCAGTGAAGAAGCTGCTGCGATTCAGTAAGCGAGGACCACAAAATGACGCTCCCTAACATACAGAGTGGTGCCATCCTGAGATGAACGGGATGATCGGGACGAGCCTCCCACCTTCTTGGCTGGCGGTTCCCAGGCTGCTTCTGTAAGACTCACAGACCTCCTGTCCAGCCTGCTGGTGGGTGCTGCTCCATGGAGCTGCCTGTTCTGGGTGTAAAAGTCCTTGGAGATAATTCTGGGCCTTTTAGCCGGCTAGGCCTTCCAGGAGAAGCATGAGCGATTCCAGGAGTCTCCTGGTTAATCGATGTTTGTTTTGAACATCAGCCTGACCTTTGAAGAGTGCAACTGGGGAACGTTGGGGACACAGGGACCCACCTTCTACTTTTCTCAGTTGCTCGTCTCTTCTCTCTGCATTGTCTTTCTTCTGTAGAAGCTAACATACTTGAGGACAGGGGATGGGTGGAGGATAGGCGTCAATTGCCAGGCACATTTTATCTGAAACCAAGTTGTTGTGAGGTGAGTTGTCTTTGGGATTGAATGTGTTGGGTACAGACCCTTCTTGATTTAACCCCACCCTACATTTCATAGCTCATCCGCTGATACTGTGTTTTTCCCCAGTCCTTTATTCTCTCTCTCTCTCTTTCTTTCATGCACACACGCACACACACACACACATCTAGGCCAGCCACATTGCACTCCTGGAGGACTGGAGGATTTCTTGATAATCCAGTTCTACCACGGAGCCTCCTAATCAGACACCGGGGCTGCAGAAATGAGGAAATCCAACAAGAAGATCAAACACGAAGTCCAGAGGGAGTCTAAGTGTTTGATGGACATTCACCACGGACCCTTTGGCGCATGCCCGTCCCTGTCCACGTTCTCGAAACACCCTGTAACTCACTGCATGCTTACGTCACCTCTCTTCTCTGCCTGGGAGCCACCCCGAGTCTCATGTCAGCCCTTCCCCCCTTCCCCATGCTCTGCCGGTGTCCAGCATGGAGCTCAGGCCCAGGCCCAGCGTTGGGGGTCTGTGCGTTTTTGTTAATTGTGGGAATGAGTCCTAGAGGGCAGTATGGTCTGTGCAAGCAGTTGGGCTAGAAACACGGTCTGAAAGGGCAGATGGTCCCCTCAGCACGGGCAGCTTTGCAGCGGGGGCCAAAGCAGCATCTCCCGTTGCAGGCCTTTAAGGAGTCCTGCCAGAAGTTCTATCAGGCGGAGCTGCAGGAGCTGGCCTTTGCTGACGACACCGAGGAATGCAGGAGATGCATCAACGACTGGGTGACACAGAAGACGGAAGGTGAGAGGTTTCATTTCGGTAGACTTGGCAAGTTGTGAGGGAAAGGGGGGCGGGAGGTGGCTGGGGGTGTGGCCTCCGTGGGGCTGACACTGCCACCCTGTCACCTGGTTGGTGTGCTTGCTCACACGGACCAGCCGTTGGATTCTGTCGTCTTTCTGGGGCTCACCAGACCCCGAAATGGTGACTTGGAACACAGAATGATCAAGGGACAATAAAAACTGACCGTAAGGGTCCCAGACGCCCTCCCCAGTGGACTGTCCTAGAAAATCCCAGAAAAATGCTTCCTCCTGGGAGCCTTGTGGATCTTCTGTCTGGGAAGACCCTTGCCCTGCCCTGGGGGCAGAACGACATTCGGTCTGGGTGGCAGGTGCGAGAGAGCCACCTCTCAGATTACCTCCCTGAGGGAATGGAACAGCTCTGGTTTCGTCCTCTGCCCTCTCTTTCTTTGTTACGAGACTGTGGCTGCACTTGCTTTTGGATCATGATGCTGTCTGGGTTTGCCCCGGAGTCAGGAGCTGCAGCTTATGTGGAGCCCGCCCCGTGCCCTGCCCAGTCCGTGTTCCATCTCAGCAGAAAGAGCTCTGCCCGTTCCCTCCCGGAGTTCGGAGGAAAAGGCCATGCTTTTAAGCACTCTAAAGAGAGTTTAATTTAGAGTGTAACCTGTAATTTAGAAACTACAAAAAGGGGGGGGGGCAGTCACTCTTTCTCCCCATGCCCACCCAGCACTCAGTATTCCACGCGCTCAACCTTTAAGGTGCACCCGCTGCGCCTCAGGCAGCAGCAGTGGCCCGGATGATCCTGAAAGCCGGTAACACGATGAGCCCCCAAAGGGAAGAGCCTTGCAGGTTTCCTGTGTGACGTGTGTGGTGGTCTCTCACTCTCCAGCAGGTGGAGCTGTCCTAAGTCAGTGGGTTAGCCAGCATCCTCGCCACACCTCTCCTTCCCACACCTGACACTTCCCCTCCTTGCCTGCTCACACTTTTCCTTCCATCAGGCTGGCCATCCACATGTTTTCCCAGAACACTAGAGCTGGGGGTATTCTGGGGACCACCTTGTCCCCACTTTCATTGCACAACTCAAGTGGGGCCCCTTCATTGCATCCCTCTAATTCCTTTGCCCCATTCACCCCGTTCCGGAAGCCTACCTCCTCCCATAGCGGGTCTGCACTTCCCATTCCTTGGCGGGCTTTCCTTACCTAGATGCGATTTGGAAGTGGGCATAGAGCAACAGTTTCCAACAACCAGCAGCGACCTCCAGGAGACACTTGGCAATGGCAGAAGACATGTTTGGTTGTCACAGTTGGGGAAAGTGCTGCTGGGTACCCATCTTACAACGCACAAGCTAGTCCCTACAACAAAGAATGATCTGGCCTAATATGTCAATAATGGTATGGTTGAAAAATTATGCTGCCCAGGTGGAGAGGCTTACAGTTAAAATCCAGACTCTTGGATTAGTTCCTCAGCTTAGTCACTTGCCACCTAGGTGACCTTAGGAAAAAAGTCAAGCACAGGCCCTGAACCTGAATTTCTACATCTGTAAACTGAAGACACAATGATAGTTGGCCTGCCTGCTTCAGGATTGTTGCTGCGGGACACACTAGACCCTGTGTGGACGCACAGCCTGAAACGTCGTTGCCCGGATCCATCAGGCAGCCAGAGAGTCAGGATTCCAGCCTGGCTGTCAACACAGCTGCAGTGTCCCAGGTCGAGGAGATCTTTTTGTAAAAGAATGATTATTCCCCACCGCCACCGAATAGCCACAAACTTCTCTCATGTTCTTTCCAGGTAAGATTTCGGAGATTCTGGCTATTGGCACGGTCAGCCCACTGACCAAGCTGGTTCTTGTGAACGCGATCTACTTCAAGGGCAAGTGGAAGAAGCAGTTTGACCGAAGGTACACGAGGGGGATGCCCTTCAAAGTCAACCAGGTAGGGACGGAGATTTCAGGTACACTGCTACTTTCTCAAAGTCACCATGCTGGGGGAGGCTGTGAATGGGGCAAAGCAATAATTTATTTCATACCACCTTGATTGTTAATCCACATCTGAATGTATTTCATACCCCACCCCCCATATATCTGTTATTGGAGAAGGGAGGAAAAAAATGAAAATAATTTTTCTGTTGATAGTTTCCTGTCTTTCACCCTTGATCCAATTGACCTTCTATCTCCGGTCATATTATTGTGGTTGAAAGAATATTTCTTCTAAGCCTCGGAATTATGGCTGTACTGTTGTTGCTGGTGAAAACGAGCTCTTCTGCAGTGTTGAGAGGAAAGAATTTCAGACGGCACACGTGTGTGGGAAAGTTTAAATGTGGTGGCAAGACTTCACTGGGGTGAAGGGAATTAACACGCCCTGGGGGGGTGCAGAGAACCAGTAGGCTCTAGCAGCAACTGCCATGACACTCCTGTTACTCCTCCGTATATTTTCTTGGCTTTTGGTAAAGAAAAAGGTGCCATGTAAACCATCTAATCCAAATTTCTGATTCTTTTCTGGCCTGAGTGGGGCCCTCCTCCCAAGCAACCCCTTTCCTGGACATACTGGGGTTCCGCGCCCTCTCTCCAATTCGATCACCTTTCCAGTTTTCCCCGGCTAGGCTCGGAACCCAAAGGTAGATTTCCCACCCAAATAAATCTTACCACCAATCACATCCTCCCTTGTTTCCTCCCAAAGTGCTTTCTCGTGACACTGCAAGTCCCGCATTTCCACCGGCAGCACGGCCGCCATCTGCATGTACTTAGATTCCTTCTAGAATGTCAGTGACAGCGCTTCCTGTTGATTGCCTTAGGTTCCTGACTAGACAGCTCTGAGCGCAAGGAAAGGGGTGTTAGGAGATGTAAAGGTTGACTATTTATTTTGAACTTTTTTTGGCTTTCTAAAAAGATTTTATTTATTTATTTTTAGAGAGGGAAGAAAGGGAGAGAGAGAGAGAGAGAGAGAGAGAGAAACATTAATGTGTGGTTGCTGGGGGTCATGGCCTGCAACCCAGGCATGTACCCTGACTGAGAATTGAACCTGCGACACTTTGGTTCGCAGCCCGCACTCAATCCACTACGCCAGCCAGGGTTTTTTTGACTTTTAAAAATAAAAATCATATATATTCAAGGTATGCAGGATGAGGATTTGCTATACATAGTGGAATGAGTAAAGAGCTAACTAATATATCTCCCCACGTAGCTGTCTTATTGTGTGTATGATGAGAGTCCCTGAAATCTACTCTTAAAAACTTTCCAGTATTCAGTGCAGTAGTACTAACCGTAGCCATCACGCTGCACATTAGATGTCCAGATGCAGAAGCCTTACATTAGAAGTACTTTTCTCCATTCCCCGTTGCATATAGTAATGGCTGGGGTCAATGGCTATTAGCTTGGAATTTGGCCTCTATCAACTTAATAGCATATTGCGCAAAGACTTCAAAGTCTGCAGTATATTTGATGCAAGCTTTAAAAATGGTAGAGGATCCATATCTCGTTAAGTTTCCTTCTCTAAGAAAACCAAAGCTGTAAAACCAATTATATAATTGAGCAACTTTTCAGAATAAAAGTTGAACTCCCTCTGGCCTGTATATCTTCTCCAACCCGATCCTCCAGCCCACAGGCCTGAATACTAGTTAATTCTCCTCTCAACTCAGAAAAATAATTTTTAATTATGAGGTCTCTGGGAGTGCTTCTTTATGCATTTTATCAAAAGGGAAAAAACACAACTTCTTCCAAAAATAATGAGAGAGTTTTATGTCTGTCTATATTCACCCATTTATTCTCTCTCACCTGGTTATAATTGATCTGCAGGGGCACGAGCGTGTTATACTCAATACTAAAATGTAATAATGAGGATTTTGTATCCATCGGCCTGAATGCACAGAAGTAATAATCCTCTTATATGTACCTAGGGGTTCTGTGCAACAGACATACTTTTGGGGAACAGTGCTCCTTTTGCAGTAATCTGATTTTAATTTGATGTTTTCATTAGGAGAAGAAGACAGTGCAGATGATGTTCAAGAAGGATGAATTTAAAGTGGGCTACGTGGAGGAGGTGCGCAGCCAGGTCCTGGAGCTGCCCTACGCAGGGGAGGAGCTGAGCATGGTCATTCTGCTGCCCGATGAAGACACTGATCTCGTGGCGGTGAGCCCTTGGCAATCCATCTGAGTGTCTGTGCATCCAGCCTTAGCGCCTCTCTTTGAGCCCATTCACCAGAGAGTGTTTGAGGAGTTTCCAGTGTAGGGCTGTTATATATAAAGAGTGCTGGAGGGACACCATTGCATGTCTTTGGTGGGGAAGTGTGTGCATTTCTATGGAGTATTTATCTAGGAGTGGAATTGCAGGTAAGGACAAATGTTGATGAAGCTAAGAAGACAGAGTTCCAAGACTATGAGCATGATTCTTCATTCTGAAGAGAGGGGCTAGTTGAGGGCCTGATAACTAACGAATGAAAGTACTGGAAAAAGATAAGGATTGATCTGGGCAGCCTTTCTCCAGCATTCGTATGCATACGGGTCTCGGGGGATCTTGCTACAAAACAGATTTTGATTCTGGGGGTTATGGCCTGAGAGTTTTGCATTTCTAACAGGATTCCAGGTGATGCAGATGCTGTTGGTCATGGACTGCACTTTGAGTAGCAAGAGTCTAACATACAGGAGAGGGATTTACCTTAGACAGGAGGAGAGAGCCCCCTTCCCCAGACAGAAGAGGGACAGAGCTCAGGAAGACGGTACATTTGGAAGGTGGGAGGTGTAGGACCAACAGTGTGCTGGTTGTCTGTCTCTCTGGGGGTGGAAGAAGTCCTCCTATGTCATGTGTGCTACCTTCCTGCTGTCAGCACTCCCTCAGGGCTAAGTTTAGGTTACCAAGGGTTTGACGATTGACTCTCACCAGGGATGCTAGCCAGCTCCGGCACACCAGTGCACAGGATGTGAGGTTCCTGATTTCCCCGGTTTCTCTGTGGAATCTGGAAGCTATGGGCATAAGTCAAGGATGAGATCTGTCATGGCTACTTAAGAAGAAAATCAGAGGGGTCTAGGATTAGAGCGGACATCCAAACAGCTGTCAGTGGGCAGGGGCACTCACCTGGGCTCCAGGTGGTAAAGGGAAGGAGAGGAAGATGCAAGCTCCTTCTTTTATTTCTCCCTTGTGGATAAATAGAAGGAGTGGTGGGTCTCAGAGGTTTGCAAGCCCTCCCCAGCGCAGACAGAGGGCAACCAGGGTGCCAGGGGCTGCAGGCCCATTGAGTGGCTCGTTTCTGCTCTCCCTTCCCCAGCATCCACACCTCCCCGGCCACTCAGACGAGGCCTGGTTTCCTCTTTCACAGACCAGAGTTCGGGCCTTGCCCTGTCTCTCCTTTTCAACAATCTCTCCTCCTCACAGGAATGTGCATTGCATGAATATAATCAATTGATTATGACAGTTTTCCAAACTAAAGAACATTTGAAATGAATTTGGTACACATAGTTTAAAAAAAACCCCTCTCTTTCTCTCTGATGCTTTCTAGCTATTTTACTTTTGTTTCTATAAAACAGGAAAAAGATGAGAATTTGAGGGATGATCTTGGTCTGTTTACAAGAGAGACCATCTCTGTAGATCGTCTTGGACCGGAACTCACCATCCAGTTGCATGTCCTGGGGGGAGGGGAAAGGGGAGCACCGCAGGTTGTGACATCTCGGTTTTAGGATTTGACTCTTTGTTATTTCAGGTGGAAAAAGCACTCACATCTGAGAAGCTCACAGCCTGGATGGATCCAGAGAAGATGACTTTGGAGAAAATTCAAGTTTTCCTTCCCCGATTTAAGCTGGAGCAGAGCTATGACTTGGAGCCTTTTCTGCGAAGTTTAGGAATGACTGATGCTTTTGAGGAAGCCAAGGCAGACTTTTCTGGAATGTCAATGAAGAAGAACGTGCCGGTGTCCAAGGTCGCACACAAGTGCTTTGGAGAGGTCAACGAAGAAGGCACGGAGGCGGCCGCGGCCACCGCCGTGGTCAGGAATTCCCGGTGCATCAGAACGGAGCCCAAGTTTTGTGCAGACCACCCGTTCCTTTTCTTCATCAGGCACCACAAAACCAACAGCATCTTGTTCTGCGGCAGGTTCTCTTCACCATGAAGAGGGGCCGTTGCTTACAGGTGCTCCGTTTTTTTTCCGGTCAACCTCACCTTAATTCAGATTCCACATGACTACGTTGGTGCAGTGGGCTGAATGCCAAAATAAAGTGTGTACACCTTGGACGTCTGTGAATGTCTTGACCGAACATTCCAGAGCCACTGAGAATAAATGAGGCTCTAGATGTGTGGAGTTTGGGGAGGAGAAGGCTATGCTTGTTCTGGAGTGTTTGGGGAGCTCCTTCCTCTCACAGGCTCTGCCCACACCTACCTGTCGTAGGAAGGCTCTCCTCCAAGTCTGTGCCCATTGTTTGTGGGCATCTTTTGGAACACGTCAAGGATTCCAGTTCCTCCAATCAGCCCTCTCTGTGCACTTCCAACCTGCAGTGACCTCAAAGGTCATTAAAGTGCCCAGCACCCCTGCCACGCTCTCCCAGAGCTGCCAGTGTCCAGGTGCCCTGCCCACAAAGCCAGGGGCTGGCGCTTCAGAGTGAACAGCATAGCCAGCAGTGTCTCGCTGACCGCTGAGATAGAGCGTCTCTCCCGTCAGCGTCACACAGACAGCCCCACGTGTCCCATGTCTCACACAGCCCCTTACGAGTTCACAGGCTCAGCGCTGAGCTTGTGGACTGAGCTAGGAGCCAAAGCTCTGAAACGAGCCCAGTCCTTTCCATTCCCTTTGCTTCCAAAACATACAGGCAACCGAGAAGGAACCCCGACGCAACGCTTCTAAGAAGCAATGGCCCTCTAGTTAATCATATGTGGCCATGTGTCACAAGTACCCCTCTCGCTTAAAATCAGACCTCCCTATCACTTTTTCTGATTAAAAAGAATTTGAGTTATGGCAGCAATTTGGAAATTATAGAAAAGTATAGAAGGAAAAGTTGCCACCCACAGCTCCACTACTGGCAACCGTGAACTTGAGCAACAATCTATATTCTTCCCTGTTCTGTGCATGCAAATAGAGGTTTATAAGCATTTCTCTTTTGCATTTACTTTTTTAATTGCAGCTTTCAATGATCATTTATCCCCCTCTACCTTCTTCCACCTCCACCTACCCACTTCCCTGCAAAGTTTGTAAACATTTCAGCACAAGTGAGTCATGTCCTTCTGTATCTTATTTCTATGCTCAATTACCACCTACTTACAACTATCTGCTCTTGTCCTTTGGATTTGCAGGAGCATTTCTATAGCATCTTCTGTTCCCATACATATCGTTCTCTCTGTGCTGTTAGTGCAATTCCATCTATTTGTCTGTCTTTGACCAAGCTGCATGGTGCTTTATTAGTAGGGCTTTGTACTGTGTCTTAGTTATTTATCTCTGCCATAGAGAAGTGCTCACAGTATTTGTGGTTTGATCTTAGATGTCTTTGGCTTCCTTATAAACCTTACTGTCATGGTCCTCATCTACTGTCTTCTTATTTTAACCATCACAATTTATTATATATTTCAAATTGTTTTTTATCGCTATTAGCTTCTTTTATTTCCTTATTTAAACGGTTTGTCTGTGAAACAGTTCTGCTTCCAATGTTTAGGTTGGGCAATTCTTTTATAGTGTTTTTCTTCCTCAAATATCTAGATTTGGGCTTGTGGGTTCAGGTTGTTGACCCTGGGTTATCGGATGTGGTCTGCTGATAAGGGCTGAGCAAAGCTTCCAAGTCGGACCTCTGTGTGTGTGTGTGTGCGAGAGAGACAGTCGCGCCCAGTCTGGTGACCCACATTTTCTGGAGCCCCTCAGGTAAACCCCATGGTCAGAGTTGAAGCAGTGATGCTCCAAGGGTCCTCAGTTCACACCTGTTCGCTTCAACCCCTCACCCGTGCCAGGCTGTTTAAATGCACTAATATAACCACAAGGATGCTAATATGGATGGCGCAGGCTGTGGAGTTAGGGTTTTGTCCCGAAGGAACGAGGCTAACGGAGCCGAGGCAGGACCCTGAAACACCTGGTCCAGCCTACCCCCTCTCCGGAGCCCACAGGTGTCTCCCTGGCCAGACGGCAGGCGAGCGCCGCCTGAACACGCACGTCCTGGCGCCAGCCTGCCTCCCGTGGTTGGCTTGGCTGCCTTGTTGCTTGGTGACTCTTAATTTGTTGTTATTGTTTGTTTGATCGATTAGTTCTCAGAATCCTTGTTTCTCTCCTGCCTGTAATTTCTCTAGAGCTGAGTTTTGGGAAGAGAGTCAAACTCCTGCTTTGTGCCATCTTTTGCAGGCATCTGAATTATCTTTTTAATGATGTCTGTGCTGCTATGTCAAGGCAGAAAAAAAAAGATTGTTTTACCATTTACTCATAGGCCTTTAATACATTTGAATTCACTCTTTAAAAACCAGAAATTATGTTTTATAGTCTCCAGATTTAAAAAAAAAGTCTTTAAATACCAAATGTTGGCAAAGATCAATAGCAACCCTTATACAAGGCTGGAGGGAGCTGAAATTGGTAAAACCAGCCAGGAAAGCACATGGTAAGCATTTGTTAACACACTATGACCGGATATTCCACTCCTGGTTGGAAACCCTAGAAAAAATGTATGTTCGAGAAGCATGCAAAAAAAAAAACATGCTCATAGCCACATTGCTCATCACAGCAATAAAAAATGTAAAAAAATAGGGAGAACACTGAATTATTAAAATGCATAAATCACGCTGCCTTCCTGCGGTGCAACCAGGGTCATTGCGTCGCTCCGCTCCGGGGCGCCAGTCACAGGGCTGGCTCGTTTTATACAGCACGTAACGTTCCCGGCGTCTCCTGGAAGCTGCACAAATTCGTGTGGAGTACTATATATTAGGAGAAATAAATTAATCCTAGCTACCACCATAAAACACAATGCTGACCAAAAATAACAAGTGCCTGTTGCATTTGCATAATGATAAGCAATAGGCGAACGGATTATTGTGCTGCCTAGAGAGACGTACATATAATAAAGCTACAGAGGAAAAAAACAAAGGAATTAATGCAAAATATAGAATAGCATGAAATCCAGGGCAGGGAAAGAATGTGATTAGCTAGGTCAGAAGGGAACTTTAAAGTTGTTCAGGGTAGTTTGTTTCTTAAGCTGGGTAGTGGATATTTGATATTTATTCAATTTACTATTAACCTATAAATATGCATCTATGTAAATCCATTGCATTATATGCATGACACATTTAACAATGAAAAGAAATTTAACAAAATAATGGATAAATCATGGTATAATATGCATCAAGGACCACCATCAGCTAAGAGAGGTAAGATTAAATATCGCAAAGCTCATAATCGAACTAAATATAACTTTCCTATGCATGGACAACATCCTTTGGATTGGAAATGCAAAACTGTGTCTTGCCAAATGTGGATTTCAGTGAACATTCCTCAAACCAAGTGACACAAAATACGAATGTGAACTGATAGGCCAAGATGTCTCAGACTAATTTGGAAGAACAGCAGTAGTCGAGCTGTTAGTATCAGGCAGACTTTAAGGAAATGAATTAAAATGGGGAAGTGCTGTCATTTGATATAGGAAAGGGTATGATGTGCAGGGAAGATAAAATGTACACATCACCATGTCTCTTTCAATACCACATGGATGAGCATCAGAGAGAGAAATCCTACAAGTTGGATGAAAAAATTTCAGTACCGCACTGCACTTGGAGACCCATTTTTGGACATTGTCACACTTCTGAAATTAAGATATGACTTGAGGTCATCGTTCCTGTCTGCACATGTCCGCATTTAGTCGTGGCTGTTGATGCTTTTTTCACTTTAACTTATTATTGATGTTATAGTGTTGAGTATCGTTGTCATTATTTTTAAGATTATATTATTGGCATTGAAAAAGTTACTGTGAATGTCAGAAGTTATTGAAGTGAAACAGTGATATGGAATTTGATATTAGAGAAGCAAATTATTTTTTTAGATTTTTTTTGTTATTGATTCTAGAGAGAAGGGGAGGGAGAGAGAAAAACAGGGACAGAAACATTTATCATCTGCGTCTTGCATGTATCCCTACTGGGAACAAAACCTGCAACCTAGGCATGTGCCCTGGCTGGGAACTGAACCCATGACCTTTTATTTTATACTTGAAGGAATGAGTGAAATGTCCTATTTTCATGCAAAGCAATGACCCTGATTTATAGGAGCGAAGAACAGACAAGCTCAAAAAGCTGTGCTAAATGATTGCCTATCACGTGCCAGCAGCAAAATTTGCAGAAAGTGTTAGCAGCCTGGAAGAAAATCCCAGAGACAACAGTGCTGTGTTTGCTTCTGTCCAGTGGTGTTCGGTGATCCCCGCATGACAAAGCTGTTGGTGGCACAGCACACGATAGTTGATGAAAAACATGAGCACCTGTGGTGTTCGGCCCTACGATTCAGCCTCAGACTCTGAGTCTGTTTTAAGGTCATTTTGCAAATACTTAATTTTACTCATGAACAAGAACAAGGTACACTAAAATATATATCTAAATCTATAAAAGAACTCTACGTATTTATGGAATAAACATTTAATTAAAAGACAGTATTATGTCATAATTCAGCTGGCAGAACTTTTACTTCCTTAGTGATACGTGAATAAATGCATTTCAGAGCTGAGGTCATTTTAGGATGACGAAGTGTGGTGTAGTTTGTGGGGTTACTTCTTCCCTTCCTGTCTTACTGTCTAGTATGCGTGTGTGTTGAGTGCTGGGCCCTATGGCTCAACTCTTCTCAACTCTATTTTCCATTCTTAAATCCCAGAAGATTCCCTGAACTTTTTCTCTTAGTGCTTCTATTGATTTGGGGGTCAATAATGTTCTACATTTCACAAACATATTTTTTTTGCCTTTTGATTATTCCTTTTTTCATATCAGTATGTGTGTCTAAGCAGGTATAATACCTTCCAGGATTAGCTAAAGATAGTAATTGGAATTTTTAACGTTCTCGTCTAAATTGTTTTTCCAAATCAACCCTGCTGAGTGTCAGTATTGGTTGTTCTATAGTAAACCAATGATTAAAGAGTTTTAAGTTGAGGAGGAATACGCTTAAGTTTGCAATTTCTAAAGATTGTTTGGGCTGTTATATGGAGAGTAAAATAAAGGGGGCAAAGGTAGAAACAAGAAGCCCGATTGGAAGATTATTTAATAGTCTTGACAAGCGATAAGTGCTGTTCACACTACAT